AGTCTACCAAGTCTCCAAAGAAATCTAAGAAGTAGACGGTGTATTTCCTGTCTCTTATACACATCTAGATGTGTATAAGAGACAGCACTGGTATCTCCAGCAGAGCCATGGGAATCATGAACAGCTTCGTCAACGATATCTTCGAACGTATTGCCGGTGAAGCATCTCGTCTTGCTCACTACAACAAGAAATCCACCATCACCAGCAGGGAAGTCCAAACCGCCGTTCGTCTTTTGCTGCCCGGTGAATTGGCTAAACATGCCGTCTCTGAAGGCACCAAGGCTGTCACCAAGTACACCAGCTCCAAGTAAACATTACGGCGCAATTTCAAACCAAACGGCTCTTTTCAGAGCCACCAATAGTTCAAAAGAGATTTGTGTGCAATGTACGTAATATGTGCGTGTTTTTTTATTTAGTCTAAATATTGTGTTCTGAACATAATATAGCATAAATTCATCATTTACGTGTGTTAAAAGGCTACCTGACTCCATTTTGCGTCATGGGAAACAATATATTCATCAAAAAAATATTCTGTAATATATGTATTCTATAATATAGGAAAATGGATCATTTTATAAACGAAATACACATTGAGTATATCGTCATAATCTTATCATTCAAGTATCAATATCAAGTATCACCTTTCAGTCATGTACGATATAATAGTAATAATATACAACAGGTAATCTACAAAGCAGAGACCCACGTTATTCAATTGCTTTTAATTAACATGAAGTAATTTTCCAAAATAATTAAACCATCACGGTATTTCGATGGGAAGGTAAACGGCAAGGATATGGGGGAGAAGGTTCTTCGTTTTATACAGATTTTATGTAAACAACATAATTACCTGTATTGAGTGTCCTGTATTAATACCCATTACTAGTATCAAAGTTTGTGCTTTGTTGTAAAACGAAGACCCTTGATAATTTCACAACTGTAGAAATACAGTAACTATCCTTCTTTAGGAAACCCCTATTTTAAGGGACACATTTCCGTGACCAACTACTGTACTGTAATTGTACCATGGCGGTATTATAGTACATTTCGATTGATTGTCGTTTTCCTGTGAAACCTGGATTACATCACATCGCTAGTGTTCTTGTTACACAGCAATCGTTATCCATTGCGTACTCTCCCCACAAAATCAATCTCATAAATCCACAATTGGAATATTCTGATCCGAGTATTTACAACATATTTCGAATAAACCACCAAACCATCGTTGAACAATATTTTAGAAAATTACATCAATAAATCAACAAAATGTAATGGAATGCAAATTCATATGTGGAGACCGAATAGAGACCACCTAAAATGTTCAGGTCCCAAATGTGGTCTCGGATGCTTATTATATTCTTTTGATTATGGTGAAGCCACCATCTTTATTCAGTCCTAGTAAAATTAAACTAACCTATTTCCAATAATTTTGCCTTAATTTTAAAATATAATAATTTTGTATTTGAACATTATTAAATGTTTCTGAAGGTTGCCGTTACTCTATTCTAACTACTAAGACCATCTAGAACTACTTTTGACCACCTCTCTCGTTCATCGTATTTTAGGATCCATGCATATTTTTTATATTAATTTTTTTTTTGTAAATGGTTATTGGAAATTCATTGTTATTGATGGATAGAAATGTAGTTTCATATATACAGAGAGTTCAACTACATTTTATAATACTAATAATATACAATAAAAATGCTGTATATATTACTTTGTTTTTATTTATGTGGTTAAAATGTTCAAATTTCTAACCACTGAACTGTATATATATTAACAACTTTCATACTTAAAACAAGTTAACAACAAATATAATATTGCATTTAACAGAAGGAAAACTAGAAGAAAAAAAAAAGAGGTTTCGAGACAAACATGGTGCAAAACCGTAATCCTTGTTCGGTTTGCCTGTTTTGCGTTCGGTTTGCCTATTTTGCTCATGTATAAAATCAATTCTTACTTCAGCCGAAGAATGTTGGCGAAATATGCCTACTATATTAAAATGACACAATTCTACAATTTGCAAAAAACTTTGTATGGATTACGATATAAATCAAATTAATGTTGTCAGCAACAAATTAATTAATTTCACATTTAATAGTTTTATGATTGAATTTGTGAAGACAACAATAGTGATTTTCCCTCTCAGAGAGAACAAAGGGAAATAGCTTTTCTTGAGAACTTACTTGAACAAACGCTGTAATCATATTACGTCCGCATACACTAAATAAATAAAGTAACGCCAGCAAACTTCAAGCACAATTCGAATTTACAATCGAAGAAGCATCGGTAATCAGAATGTCTGGACGTGGTAAAGGAGGAAAAGGGCTCGGAAAAGGAGGCGCTAAGCGTCATCGTAAAGTGTTGCGTGATAATATCCAGGGTATCACCAAACCAGCTATCCGTCGTCTTGCTCGCCGTGGTGGTGTGAAGCGTATCTCTGGTCTCATCTACGAAGAGACCCGTGGTGTATTGAAAGTATTCCTTGAAAATGTCATCCGTGATGCCGTCACATACACGGAGCACGCCAAGAGAAAGACCGTCACCGCCATGGATGTCGTCTACGCCTTGAAGAGACAAGGCCGAACCCTGTACGGATTCGGTGGATAAGCTGTTCATCTATATCAATCCAAACGGCTCTTTTCAGAGCCACCATTCGAACAAAAGAGAATGATTGCTTGCCTAATGATTTTTCAATTTTTTTGTATACATACGTTTTCCATTAATATAGGGTACATATATATGGGTGAAAAGTGCAATATCTAGGCCCGAGCGCATAGAGACCGTTTATTTGCGCTGTATAAATCCATATATTTTATTATTATTTTTTATACCAGCCAAATTTCTGATAGGGTCTCTCAGCAGTGAATTACAGTTTGCAGAAGGTGGATTGCAAAGCAACATCAGGATTAACAGCATATAATTCAACTAGAACACGCTCGCATTTCATTCGTTAGTCAAGCTTATCTACCCAACCCCTATATATCCACTTCTCTATACGCAAAGACGGGCCACCCAAACTTCTATAAAGGACTGTATAGCTCACGAATTTCGGCAAACTGGGTTTCGGAAAAATAATATTAATCATGAGTTGTTACAAGCCGGGTGTCTATAAAACGTAGACCCCAAGAGTAAGACCCCTATTTTTTCTCTCATATTTTAATAATAATACACCAGGCTGTCAAAAAAAAAAAAAAAAATTACAAGATTATTTATTTGGAAGTCTGTTTGTTATGAAATTTATGAACAGATACCCTGCTAGCCAGGTATGGTTTATAAACCGCCAAATAGCAATCAATCAACAGACTATACATGGAAAATTTGCGACAAAAAGGAAATGGAGAAGTTAATTGAAACTGTAGTTTCAACACATTAAAGGCTGTCTCTTATACACATCTTTATCTTCTATATTCTTAATGCTACTCCCATGTAGATGACGAAAGAGGGACTTGGCAATGGTTGTATTATGATTTCTAAATATTTTAAAAATTGTAATTGAGAAAAAAAATGGAGCTTTTTCTACACAACGAAGACACTTGAAAATTTCACAAACAGACGTCCATATAATCTCGTAATATTAATTTTGTGACAGCCTGTTGTATCGTCATTAAAATAAAAGAGAAAAAATAGGAGTCTTTGTTAGATGTGTATAAGAGACAGTATATATATTGTCATCACGATAGAGAGAAAAAACAAATAGGGATATAGGTGTTCGTTTTTCGGGTCTTCGTTTTGTAGACACCCCAATGTGATTGTCTAAGAAACGAATAACTTTTATTATGTCATTCATCTATTTTGGTATCACTACTAAATGACCGATGCACTAATGCATCACTATTTTATACCTCCATGATGCAACTATGCAATGTTTATTTTAACATGAAAAAGCTGTGAATGAAATATTCAAGGTTCCTGTAGGCCCCCGAAATACGCATACCGCTAGACCAAGCCTTGCTTTCGTTTTAAGCAGCGCCAAGACGCGCTTTGCCGTAGAAAAGATTGGCTGTCGCCTTGGAACTGGAGTAAGAGTAAATCAATAAATTGATTCAGATTTAGGTAATAATGTGCTAGAAAGATAAATGTCACATATACATAGCATGTGATTTAAAAACAATATATTGATCACGATTGAGAGAAAAAAAAATGTGGGTCTTCGTTTTTGTGGACACCCATATAGGATGTCTATAGAAGGAAGACCCTTGGAAATTCCACAAACAGACGTCCCAATAATCTCTCGTAAATTTGATTTTGTGATAGTCTGAAATATTTTCATTATAAGTAAAGAGAAAAAATGTGGGTCTTCGGTCTCCGTTTTATAGACACCCATATAGGTTGTCTATAAAACGAGTGTCTAAAGAAAGGTATAAAACCTTGAATATTTCATTCATAAACTGATTTTTTTTTTCATGTTAAAATAAACAGTAGGAATGTCGGATGGTGAAGCATTTGTGCAGCATAATGTTATCTTCTATATTCTTAATGCTACTCCCATGTAGATGACGAAAGAGGGACTTGGCAATGGTTGTATTATGATTTCTAAATATTTTAAAAATTGTAATTGAGAAAAAAAATGGAGCTTTTTCTACACAACGAAGACACTTGAAAATTTCACAAACAGACGTCCATATAATCTCGTAATATTAATTTTGTGACAGCCTGTTGTATCGTCATTAAAATAAAAGAGAAAAAATAGGAGTCTTTGTTTGATGGTCTTTTTTTTTTTACAGACACCCACAAGACACGATATTATAGTTCACTATAATATCTCCATTATATGCAATGCACGCAGCAGGCCTGAGTCACACATATTTTAAAAAAAACTTAATCTAAAGTAATAAAAGTTCATACAAAGTACTGTACTGGTATGGAAGCTCGTTAATGCGCGCCACTGCAACAACGCCTTCCTGACAAGTCGACAAGCCTATCAGAGGTGTTGCATACCAGGTCCGCTTTGAATGTATATAACTACTGGCTAATCTGTTCATCTCGGCATTTACAGTTCGAACTTTTAAGTCTGTAGTTTTTCGTTTCTGGTAAACAACTCGTTACAAAATGACTGATCAAGCCAAAGCTAAGAAAAAGGCTGCTCCTAAAAAGCCAGCATCTCATCCAACTTACATTGAGATGATCACTGCTGCCGTCGGTGCTTTGAAAGAAAGAAATGGTTCTTCTCGTCAGGCAATCGCTAAGTACATTCAAGCCAACTACAAGGTTGATCCTGGTAACATGAACACCCACCTTAAGATGGCTTTGAAACGCGGTGTCGAAAGTGGGAAACTAGCCCAGCCTAAAGGCACAGGAGCTAGCGGATCATTCAAATTAAACCAGGCTGCAGCTAAGGCAGATGCAGCTGCAAAGGCCAAAAAAGAAAAGGCTAAGAAGAAGGCAGCAGCAGATAAAGAAAAGACAGCTGCAAAGAAAGCGACAAAGAAAGCTAAGAAACCAGCTGCCAAGAAGGCTAAGAAGCCAGCAAAGAAGGCTTCCAAGTCACCAAAGAAGGCAAAAAAATCAGAAAAGAAGGCGGTCAAGACAAAGAAGACAAAGTCTCCTAAAAAGGCCAAGGCAAAGAAGCCAAAAGCCAAGAAATCTACCAAGTCTCCAAAGAAATCTAAGAAGTAGACGGTGTATTTCTCAAACCAAACGGCTCTTTTCAGAGCCACCATTTGAACAAAAGAGATCAATAGCTTTTTATGTTAAATTAAATATCGTGATACACAGTCAATTTCACATCTAGTGTACTATTTTTGGTTTACATTTCCCTAATAGCATTTATTTGGTTTTTCTACTACACACACACACACACGTGTTTTCCTTCACAAATCTGCAACTCCATCACGTCCGCCTCTTGTCTGCATCTAATTTTAACATTTGTGAATGTGTGACATGTCAAATCAAGTTTATTTGATGTACAATTTTTAACAGTGGCACACATCGGTATAAAAGTTGTGTGTCCTTAAGGAACAAAACATTTACAGAACCACGTTCAAGAGCCACGAAACTCATGCCTACCTAAATGAAACTTCTAGACCTCATCAAAAATATTGTGAAGCTCATTCCTTTGTGGAAAAAGCTGGTATTTTTAAGTGTTAATTTTCATTTAGTATTTAAATCGTTTGAGATAAAAAAGATCCATAATATATTTAGATCATGGTTATTATAAAGACTGCATATTAATTACAAACACACAAAAAATAACCATACCTTCATAGCCATTAATGCATAAGGGAGCCATTGTTCTTATCAAGAAAGTTAATTCTCAAATAAATGGTCTCTCTTGCACTCAATGTAATTACTCTTTATTAATTTGTTAAAGCCTGTTGGTATAAATAGGAAATCATGATTATTAAAATAGATTTAGGCAAAAAAGTTATTAAAAATATATCCCATTTCACATTCAAAAATTTGACTTCCATGGTTTAACCATTTCCATTTGATATTATGAGTGTTTTTGACTTAGAGCATACAGTTAAAGTTTAATTTTATTACTGTACACACAGCATTACTTTAACATCAGCTTTCTGATGTGTATAATGCAGTAGCAATAACCTATAATTGTTATATGCTAATACTGTAGTGTACATTTTGGTCTGAAAGCAATGTTGGATCTAGAGTTTTTTTTAATAGTAAAAAGTTAATTTGCGTTTTTTAAATGCTTGTCCAACTAATTGAAACTGTTATCGGGGATGAGAAATATATTCATATGCGTTTATGAAACAATAGATTAATAGTAATATACTTATAGTAATTATCATTTTAATAAATATGAAATTTATGAACAGATATCCTGCTAACCAGGTATGGTTTATAAACCGCCAAATAGCAATCAATCAACAGACTATACATGGAAAATTTGCGACAAAAAGGAAATGGAGAAGTTAATTGAAACTGTAGTTTCAACACATTAAAGGACACATAATGATAGTCAGGCATTTCCTTGGATTTGTATTAAATTTCAAAATGTTTCCCACTCAAAATAAAAAGGTCCAAAACAAAAGCAAATATTTGTCTAGAATTTGAGAACTTGGCACAGAGCTTTAAAAACTCCCGCTATTCAACTCAAAAGCCCAAGGTCAGTGCATGACTTGGCAAACAAT